GCATGCCAGGCGAGCGCACTACCGCTTGAGCCACATCCCCAGCCCCTGACAGCACATCTTAATGCTCATTTCAACTACCGTAGTCACAGCATTATAAGAACTCATTTGTTTATACATCTACACTAAACACTGTCCTATTCCACACTGTACATCCTATACCTAACAGTGCCCTGTATTACAGTGTRCTCTAATTTAAATTAATTTGAACTAAACAGTCTCTCAGTTAAAGGTCAAGGTCTTAAAAAAAAAATCAAGGTTTCTCAAATTTTGATAATAGTTTTCAAAAAGTCTTCAAGAAAGCAAGGTTTTTCCCTCTGAAAAAGGATAACAAATTCCTGTTTAAGTTCAGAAAACCTATCATTTTATACAGAGAAACAGATGACTGTTTACTTGGCTCTCTGAAAATTCAGATTTTATTTTCATTTATAGTTTTCATCTATACAGCATACACAGAACACTAAATATTTCTCTAGAAATACAACATCTTAAATCTCAAATAGAATAATCCAAGTGAAATTTAAATGAAGCCATCAACTGGGAAGCTATTTCCCCTCATCTCAAATTTTACATTAGTCAAGGTATGCCAAGAACCATGATTTTCAACCCCATCAAAAAAAAAAAAAAAAAGTCCAGGGGCTGGAGATATGGCTCAAGCGGGGCCATGCCCCACTTGGCATGGGCGGGGGCACTGGGTTCGATCCTCAGCACAACTTTAAATAAAGATGTTGTGTCCACCAACAACTGAAAAAATATTAAAAAATTCTCTCTCTTCTCTCTCTCTAAAAAAAAAAAAAAAAAAAAAGTCCAACATCCCCCCAATAATCCATTCTTTGACAATTTAAGAATACAAGTAACAATAAATGTTGACCAGGATGTGGAGARAAAGGTTCACTCATACATTGCTCTTGGGACTGCAATTGATGCAACCACTCTGGAAAGCAGAATGGAGATTCCTCAGAAAACTTGGAATGTAACCACCAGTTATTCCACTCTCAGCATATACTCAAAGGACTTCAAATCAGAGATGCAGCCACACCAATGTTATAGCAGCTCAATTCACAATAGCTAAGCTATGGAACCAACCTAGGTGCCCTTTAACAGATGAATGGATAAAGAAAATGTGGGGCTGAGGTTGTAGCTCAATGGTAGAGGGTTTGCCTAGCATGCGTGAGGCACTGGGTTCGATCCTCAGTACCACATAAAAAATAAATAAATAAAGTAAAGGTATTGTGTCCATCTATAACTGGAGAAAAAGTGTTATATATACATAGTAGAATATTACTCAGCCATAAAGAAGAATGAAATTATAGTATCTGCCAATAAATGGATGGAACTGGAGACTACCATGCTAACACTAAGCCAATACCCAAATGGCCAGATGTTCTAATATGTGGATGCTAACACATATTACTGGAGGGAGGGAAGAATAGAAGTTCATGGGATTAGACAAAGGGAAATAAATGCAAGGGAGGGGTATGGGAATAGGAAAGAAAGGAGAATTAATTAGACATCACTTTCCTCTGTTTGTATATGAYCACTGAAACTCTACATCATGCACAACCACAAGAATGGGAAGTATAACTTCTTGTGTGTATGTCAAAATATACTATACTGTCATGTATATCTAAAAAGAACAAAAAAAACCCAGCCTTTATAAAATATAAATAAAAAGTGTTTCCCAGAGACAAGATATATAGTTGGAATATTATTAAAGTTTAATCTCATTAGCTAATTTATGTGTTTTGATTGGAGAGTCTGATCCATTTATATTTAAATAAATTCCTGAAAATGTACCATTTTCATTTTGTTATTATCTCCTGTGTTTCTTGTAGTTGTTTTTGTTTTGTTTTGTTTTTCTTTTTTGCTTTAATTTGTACTTCATTGATATATTTTTTAAAGTATTTTTAGTTATAGATGCATTTTTACTTATTTTTTCTATGTGGTGCTGAGAATCGAACCCAGTGCCTCCCTCACRTGTGCTAGGCAAGCACTCTACCAATGAGTCACAATCACAGCCCCAACTTCACTGATTTTTATAATCCCATTTCCCTTTGTTTATATCTTCTATGAATATTATTTTATCATTACTGTGGTGATTATATAAAAGCCTCCAATACTACATTTTAAACTAGTAACAAAATGACTTAATTTCCATTTAAAAATTCTTTGGTTTAAAAAAAAAAAAATCAATCCTTTACAATAACCCCTATACCTTCACAAAATGAAACACACATAACAAAATTAATATATTAAAACCTAATACAGGTAATAGAAAAGAAAAATAAAAAGAAAGCAAGTTTGAATAAAATTAGCATCACCATAAATACAAAAAGATCACCTTAAAAGATAACAATGAAGTAAACATATGCTTCCATACGTGGCTAACAGAAGTCAACAGAATCCCAAATGAGGATATAAAGTAAAGCAAAAATGAGTAGACACTAGAATTAAAAACAACTGTAATGTAAAAACAGACTAGACCAAGAAATAGTAAGAATAAGTGAAAAATAACTGACACAGCAACAACATGACAAGATAAAGCATTAGGATGTGACAGAAGACAACAAGCATGTCAAGAGAAGTTTCCAGACAAATGGTTAAAGGAAATGTGAAATATATACACAGTGGAATTCTAGTCAACTATAAAGAATGAAATCATGTTGGAAAATGGATGGAACTTGAGAACATTATGCTAACTGAAATAAGCCAAACTAAAGAGCCACATGTTCTCTCTCATATGTGGAAGCTAGAGAGGGGGGAAAAAGGTAGGGAGTGGAAAAAGGGGGGGAGATCTTAAGAAAATAGAAGAGAAAGCAATAGAGTATAGGAAGGGGACCAAAGGGGAAGCAGGAGGGGAAGAAAAGAGGAGGTCCTG